CTCTTGACCATTTTGCGTTAGCAGTTAGCTTCACCAGCCGATCACATGGTCACGTGGTTTCTGCGCGCTCCAGCTGTTCTATAGAACCTCCTTCGGCAGAAGTCATAGTTAGCCATACAACCCAAATGTTTCCAACTAGTTGAGATTCTAACATAGTTGTGGATTGATGGACCAAGACATAAGTGTTGTACAAATGGCATCCTTACAAACTCAACACAAATTATGCCCACTAGGTGACAAACTGTGGAATGTGTGCACTAGTCCACTAGTAAAAATTAAAATGTTCCCTAGCTGATGTCTTCTGGTCTTAAGTGGGGGCGCCAAAGCTGCAGGGAAGTTAAGAAAGTAAAAGTGTAAAAAAATTCAATCTAATAAATGTCTTAAATCATGATCAATAAAACCAGTTTTTCAATCATTATTTAAAAAAATACAATATATTAAAGTTATTTAAGAGAGGTTTCATTTCTTTTCTTTTGTTGAAAAGTTGTTGTTTTTTTAGTGGGAATATAATGGTGTCTAAAGCATGTTAATAGAATTGTAATGCTAAAAAACTAATAATTATTAAATAATGAATAAAAGTGAGAAACATTAAAAGTTTATGTTTCTTTAGATATTTTGTAGCTTTGTTTGTGGGTTTGCAAAGGGGGGCCCCCAACCAGAAGCTAATGCCATTTGGGGGAGGGGGCAATGGTATGGAAAAATATGAGGACCCCTTTTATAGCTATTTGTACCCATCTCTACTCATCTTTTTATTGTTCTGTTTTTCTAAATATTTTTATTGTGGGATTTACAGATTGATTAAGCTTTCAGTATTTCACTTAAAATGTCATTTTTATCTTTTAACTCGGACTTCAATTTTTAATTTAAATATTTGCTCAGTTAAGACAGTTTGTGTCAATGTTTACAAAGAAACGATTCTGTTGGGTTTGTTTRATTCTTCCTGCCTCAAGTCATTTTACTGTCACTTTCATCCACACATTGCATGACAACAGAGCTTCCAGACCACAACCATGGGAGAAAATAAAAGCTCTGCCCGCCCCCGCTCCACCTTTCTCCTGTTYAGCTCATTAGATTATATTTCACACYTCTACCTGTCGTGTCTCATTACCTTTCCTATGACCGCTGTCAGCAAGCAGCTGGTCAGTGACACAGGTCTGACCCTGAGTTAACCTCGGGGGCCCTCTGAGGTCAGCATGTTGTCTCGTGACCTCTTTGCTGAAACTGAAGAAGCTCTAATATGTGAATGGTAGCAGAGCATTTAATGCCAGACTTTTTTGTGTAAATTTGACAAAAACTTACCAAGTCATCTTTTATTTTTCTCAAAGAAAAAAAAATCTGACAAGTGATTTTCAGAGAACGCAAGGTAAGTCTCTGTTTTCCCTTGTGGATGAGGCTCACCTTGGCAGGAGGTTAGACGATGGTAATGAGCCCATTTTTTTTTACCCAGAATCCTCCTGGAATTGATGAGCTTCCTCTCCTCCAGTGACCTCTCCCTGGAGGAGGACGTCTTTTTTATCATCACAGTTTTTGTTGTGAATCTTGCTGTCAAAAAATCTGACATCAAACAGGAGCTTTCTTCACTCCTCCGCTCCGTCTTCATCACACTCTGCCACTTTTTTTTTCCTTTTTAAATCACAGCCTGATTATCAGTTTTGTGAAAGTGTGAAACACACGACAAAATGAGTCATTTGTTTTGAAATTGGCGTTTGGGAGCACTTAAAACTCAATATTAAAAAAAAAACAAAAAACAAATTCCCCTGTTTTTACACAAACAGCACTGACAGATAAACAACATAAAGACGTAGAAGTTTAAAATACTAAAAATCAGCCACTGGTATTTTTGTGTGAGTGGAAAAAACAATCTTTCAGGCAATCCAGTTCTGGCAGCCAAAGACAAAAACCTCACATGACTGTGGTGTTGATGGTAAATTAGAAATTTTTCCAGATGTTGCTAACACCAAACAAACGGATTGTAGTCATGTTTGTGCTCTGAACATTCTCAACGTTTCAGTGCCTTATTGCCACCCCCTCTCTTGTAGCCCATCCATCTGGCCCAGAGCAGCTTCTTAGTGGAGGCCTTCGGTTCATCCTTCATCCTTGACTTGGAACTCAACCAGTAAGTGAAAAACATGCCTGTGGTGTCGTTAACATATCCAGACTCATTGCGGTGGAGCATTTCGATTCGTTGCTTAAATGTTTTCTTTTGTCTCGTCCATTTTTTTTGTGTACATCCTGTGGTTTGCTGTTACACAAACTGCAAGAGAACAACTCAAGATGTTTTTTTTAAACAATACCACCACTGAGGAGAAAACATCTTTTTCCCCTGTTTTTTTTTTTTTGTTTGTAGTCTAGATTGCAGTAGATCATAATGCTCCTTTCTGCTTCATATTATTCCTTTAAATGAAACTGAAAAATGATGGTGGCCCCGTCCTCTAATCATCCTGTGATGCAATGTAGCACTTTTAACATTTATGAATGAAAAGATTCAAGCTGAAACAAAATGTAACATTTATTGTTTGTCTTTCCAGTAATCTCCTATCTACAGATTATGTGGAGCGTTACTTTGAGGATGGACAGCTGTCAGAAAATATGGTATGCTTAACATATTGCTTTGCTCTAGAAGTTTTTTTTAATTTTTCTCCCTTTTTGAGTAATTCATAGTACCCAAACAGGAGTACCCAAGGGTTTATTTTAGCTCCACTTCTTTTTAAGTATTTTCTTTTTTTTAATGAGCTACCTGAAAACAGCAAAGATGTTTTGTTGTCATATGTATGCAGATGATGCCATCATGTATGTRACTGCTAAAACCCCTCAACAAATAGTGGAGGGGTGAAAGACAAGAGGACGGGCTGGTAAAACGCTGGGACAGAGATACAGATGGTGTCAAGACCTTCCCCTCAAGGACGACACCAGACGTCCAAAAAAAAAGAAACCTGGGGGAACACAAAAAAAGTGTTTGTGGGGGACCATCCAGAGATTGTCTAGCACAGGACAAGGGATCTGGAGGGTGGCCCAAAGAAACCCAAAGTCTGAGGAGGCAAGGTGGGGGGGGACCAGAGGAAGATGGAGAGAGATTGTCGCTGGTGAGGATGTTAGGGAGTCTGCTGCCAGTGAGGAACCAGAGGGGCCTGGAACGGCCTCAGGGTCTGTCTCGGGTATTTCCTCAGGCACAGGAACTATAGGATCAGGAACCATGGGGACCTTAGGAGCAGGAACCTTGATAGCTGTTGGAGCAGGAACTGGGGAGCAGAAATCTCAGATACTTTGGGCGCTTGAACCACAGGCTCAGGGGCTGGGAGGCTGGGATTCTGACTGCTCAGCTTTCTCAGCGAGGTACTTCTGGACATACTGTAGGTGTGTAGCTTGATGTGTCTGGTTAGATGTAGCAGATCAGGTTGGAAAGAAAAAACGCATCCAAGATCTGGCCAATCTATCTTTCTGGCTCCCATGACAGATGAAAAGCTTGGCATCATCAAGGAACCCCGCGTAAGGAAGTGGGTCCCCTATTGGTCCCACAGTGGCAGTGATGGGAGTGGATCCTCAATGGTAGCGTGAGGAGAATCAGCTGTGGGGAACTCAGGTGACGCTGTTTGTTTATAGTGAGAGGTGGCGGGAGACCTAAACGCTGAGAAGAAGAAACTTGAGGAGCAGATGAGCGAGGGCGGGGCTGGAGGGATGATGGACAGGATGGAAAAATGTTGGGATTCACAGAGGAAAAACAACAGAAAAGACAAACACAGATTGTGACAAAATGTCTTTCCCTCATCAAAAGTGTTGCTTTAACTCATTCATGCATGGTTGAGAAGTCCTTGAATCTCCTGTGGTAGCCATGTGGAGCTGCCTAAACACTTGCTGGAGGCGGCTGTGGCAGAGTGGTTAGGGGAGTTGTCCTGGAACTGGAAGGTCGTCGTTTCAGTCGTGTCCTTGGACAAGATACTTCATCATCCTTGCCTACTGATGGTGGTCAGAGGGTCTAGTGGTGCTGGTGCATGGCAGCCCCGCCTCTTGTCAGCGTGCCCCAGGGCAGCTGTGGCTGGAGCTTACCACCATCAGTGTGTGAATATGAGTGTGAATGGGTGAATGTCTGAATTGTAAAGTGCCTTGGGGTCCAAGTCGACTTGATAAGGCGCTATATACTGTAAGTTCAAGCCATTTACAAAGCACCACCTTTTTGTACATAGCTCCTTCCTGAAGCTCAGTCTGCACCCAAGCCAAACAGAGCGCCACTCCCTCAAAGCATGTTATAAAGTTGTGCTGAAGTGGGAGTGTCCGCAATGGAAGGCCAATTTCCACACGTTTATAAGGGCCCATTCATCCATCCATCCAGCCCCCCCACCCAATCCAGGGTCGGGTCTCTGGGGCAGCAGCCTAAGCAGAGAGACCCATCTCTCCCCAGCCACTTGGACCTGTTCTTCTGGGGGAATCCCAAGGCATTCGTGTCCTGGGTCTTCCGGGCCTCCTCCCAGTGGGACGTGCCTGGAACACCTCACCTGGGAGGCGTCCAGGAGGCATCCTAACCAGATGCCTGAGCAACCTCAACTGGCTCCTCTGGATGTGGAGGAGCAGCGGCTCTACTCAGTCCCTCCCAGATGGCGGAGCTTCTCACCCTATCTCTGAGGGAGAGTCCAGACACCCTGCGAAGGAAACTCGTTTTGGCTGCTTGTATCCGTGTTCTCATTCTTTTGGTCACTACCCAAAGCTTGTGACCATAGATGAGGTTAGGAACGTAGATCGAYCAGTAAATCGARAGCTTCGCCTTTTGGCTCAAATCTTGCTTCACCAAGACAGACCGGTACAGCGCCCGCATCACTGCAGACGCAGCACCAATCCACCTGTCGATTTACCGCTTCATTCTTCTCTGATTCATGAACAAGACTCAGAGATACTTAAACTCCTCCACTTGGGTCAGGACCTCTTCCCTGACCTGGAGAAGGCACCCTACCCTTCTCCAGCTCAAGACCATGGTCTCAGATTTGAAGGCACTGATCTTCATCCTGGCTGCTTCAAACACTTTAGATGGGCTCTGATGCTAATTTATTTTTGCTATATGCAGCATTTTCAAAACAACTGTATGTAACATAGTTACTTCATTGTGGTACAAAATTGAAATATGTACCTAGAAAATACATAATACACCCCCCTTCCTCAAGCTCGGATACTTTTATGCAGTTTTAGGTATCATTAACATATTTAAATGTGTTAAATGACTTATTTGTAGTAGATGTTGCTAAAACCTAGGGGAGCATTTAAAGGAGACAGAACATTGAAKCTTAGAAGTCTTGATTTAGGAAAAAAATGTCCACATCAATACAACCGTTTCCTCATTTTAGTTTTTGACTTTCTGGTCAATTGGTGGCTTGATGACAAATCTGTGAAAGCAAATCCTATTTTTTCTGTTGCCATTTTATTTAAAAGCATCTTTATTGTGTGCAGAAATAATCAGATTAATGTAAAACATTCATTAACAACCTCTGAGATGTCCCCTTTGTTCTAATCTCTGTCCCTCCATCACTTTTTTTCCTTTTCATGGTTGCCTGTCTTTCACTCCCCTTTTTTTTCAAAAGAACCACTTGTCCAATCAGTGTGTAGTTGCTGTGGTAACCAGCAGTCAGCAGCAGCACCACTGTCTGTCTTGTCTTGAGGGGAATTCGAATCAGGGCCATTTCTAGAAATGACTCAAACTAATGTTAAAACTAGTGCATTTGTTGACTTTGAGGTTTATTTCCACAAGCAAATAACAGAATATTTGGTATTTTGTGATTAGGTGAATTTTAGATCCAGCCTTATCTTGTACTTTATCAGTTTTAGTAATTTACTTTAAAAGTGAAAGGGTCAACATGTCTCTATTTAATGTTTCCCTTCAGCAACGTAAGAATATTTTACTTTAGTTTAACAGTCTTCTCACAACAATTAAGATGTTCTTGCACTGCGGATGAATTTTGTTTTTATTTCCGTCTTCCTGCATATACTTTATGTGCAACAATACAAGCATCTTTTTAATACTTTGAAAACCAAAAGTGTCAAATTTATTTTCACAGAGGGCCACACGAGCGTTTTGGTAATAAACACCAATGTTTCATGTTTAACACTGACTAAACATGAAACATGTTCCTTGTCTCATTACAGCTGAGCACCACTAACAAATAACTGAGCTCTATGTGGTATTTCCTGCTTAAAAACAGTTTTAACATGTCCTTTTAAAAGCACTTACAACTGACTTAATGTGAAATAAATAATACAGAAATACTATTAGGTAAGAGTTTTACTCACTGTTGAGACATTAACACARGGCTATTCAACTAAATTGCTCAGGGAGCCAAAGTTATTCAAAGCAGTATTATTATCCTTCACTTTTTAAATTTGTTTATTTTGTTGCACAGAATCATCAACTTAAAGTTTACCAGTGATGTATAAACAATTTTTATATTTAGCCAAAAAAAAAGGCAAAAACTTTTGGCGGGCCAGACGAAAGTCACCTTTGAGCTGAATTTGGCCCACAGGCCTTTTATTTGACTCATGGGTCTGAAACAGTCTGTGTTGGAGACTCTAGTACCCTTTTATTCTGATGCCATGCCTTTTTACAGTGTAATGTGTGCAGAATTGATATTTTTCTTGAAAAATGCATAATTTTTTAAAAAAATAGCTCAGATTTATGTCTTTATTCTTTAGAGCATGAATATAATTGCTCATGTTTTCTTTAATTAGCAAAGAGGCCAATATTCACAATCACAACAATCAATATTTCTGTCAAATGTTTTTCTCATGTCTCCACTGGGACTTGGAAGCACTCATCTCGTGAAATGATCTCTAGACTTTGAGGTCTGAGGACTTCTCTCTTATTAGCTGTGAAGGAATAGGTTAGCAGAGAACAAAATATAATTATTCTGATGTGTTTCAGTCAAGAGTCCAGACCTGAAGTCCAGAGAGAATCTGTGGATTAAACCACAGAAGCTCTGGAGAGATGACGAAACACCCTCCAGTCACAAAGGTTAAAACATTGTTTTWGTGGAGAAGAGATGCAGAATCTCAGCTGGGTGATAAAAATGTCTGAACAATCTAAGAATGAGATGTGTTTTTAGAGTTTTAGACACAAGGTACTCATGCTTACCTTAAATGCTCTGATGCTTCTGCTCCGTACTGTCCTCCTCAAACTTTACATTAGCTCATTTTTATTGCATTACATCTTCCTCTCAGATCAACAATGCTGAGTCCAGACATCAAGTGCACTTTCAGCTTTTCTAATTCTGTTACAGCCGTCAAGTTCAATCTTGTTTCTTGAGGACACAATTGTCTAGTTGCCTCCTTTTCTTATTGTAAGCTGRTATTTAACTGCATTTATTCAACATCTGCTTTTGTCGGGTGATTTTTCACATATAATACACACTTTCTTTCACAAAAAAGCACAGTTCATTTGCATGAGTGAGTGGCCATTATTTCTAGTGCATACTGTACGCCTCTGAAAAGCCCACTAAGTCCTTCGGTTAGTGCGCTTCTGCTGTATCAGGCAATTTGATTTCCTCCATTTAGCCTTGTAATCCTACCTTTTATTTATTTATCTGCGCTAAGTGCTACGAGCTGGCTCGCTGTCGTGTATGAATGATGGAAGTCTTCTCGCACCTCAAAAGACCATGTTATATTACCTATTTTTAAATAATCTAATTCAGTCAATTACAGCTGTACATGAGGTTAAAACTCATAGTTTGAACTTTATGCATGTTTCACTGGGTGCTTTGTCTGCGTTAACTGCAGATCAAATCATACTGGTTCAGGCAGAATTAGAATGGATAAAGACAAAAGCAGGCTGTTTGGGTCTAATTTTATTTAAATCTATAAACTTTTCATCAATGAGTCAGCAAGTTAATGATTCTGTTTAAATCTTTTAAAAGTAAAAATTATCCTGCTTTTGGACTTTTTGACTTTGAGGGGTAATTTGTAATAACTAAATTAATTAAATCGTGTGTTAAACTCAAGGTCCACGGGCCAAATCTGGCCCTCGTTGACATTTTGTCTGGCCCAAACATTAATACTTAAGTATGAAATAGTTTTATGGTTTCTCTTTTTGTCATTGTATTTAATGCATCCTTCTCATGACAGCTGGCCAACTTTCAAACCAAGAAAATTAAGTTTTAATTTTTCAGTAATCTTGGATTTTGGTGTGGGAGAAAGCAACAAAGAATTAACTTCCGTTATCTTTTGCTGTTTTCT